TCAAGGGGTGGGTACGCGTGACGAGCGTGGTCGCACGTGTACGCGGTCTGGTACCTGGCCCTCGAGTTTTCGGAACACGCAAGAGTTCTTCCTGACGTTGTCGTGTCTCTCAGGAACTTCCCTTAGTTCATCCAGCGGCGACCCCTGCGACCACCCTTAACTTTTTCAACCTCTTAACCTTCATTAGTACCTTTCCCTCGTTTGACCCTCTCTACATTCTGGACACCCCTTGGGCCGCGCCATACTTTCGTATCATTCTCGTTATTAAAACCCAGTATAATTAGTACGAACGTAACAACGGCACGTGGACTCCCGCACCGGACATCCCGTAAAATCTAATTATCTTGCTAATGACTTTCTCCCGATAAACATGGAAAAGTAGCACGTGTCCTATTTGAATTCTCCGGCAGAACGATATCGTATCTCACACACCGTGTAATACGCACGAGTCTCGAATGGTGTCACGAGGTACTTGGAAAGTAGTTCCTAGTTTCCCTCTCCCACTTACCACCCCCTCTCGCGCTCTGCTCTCAGCCGGTTAATTGACACTCGTCAAAATTCGAGCATTGTCCCGGTAAAGGCTCTTTTGAAAAAAATGACATAAAGTGGCTACCCCCTGTCAAAGAATCTCTTACGGGTAGGTACGGAGAGAATTTTATCAATTTTAAAAATAATAATAATAATAATAATGGTACCGATTTTACCCATGTAAAAATTATTGCCAAGGTGCCAAGCATGTATCCTACTTACTTCACACCGATTATACCCCTTTTTTTTTTTCCTATAAATACCCAACCGAGACACGGCAGCTCCTGGACATGCCATAAGATCTGAGATATCCCATAGCTCATATTTATGTTCATGGAGATTTTGCATCATTAGGGCCATTAACTGCTCGCGGCCTGTAATACTCGGATGATCATGGCCGTCGATGGCTCTCGGAGAGTCGCAACCCTCGATCGGGCTACGTTTAACTTCAGATTCCGACCTTCCTTGTGGATTCCCACATGAGAAATTATACGCGTGCATAGGTGTGATTATAAAATTTTTTTTTTTTTTTCAAAAATACAATACACATATATGTTGTGACGTGATTTTTCAAATCACGGTCCCAAGGCGGCTCCGGTTACCGATACAGATAACGTTCTCGATTTCTGGTTCCCTTCGGGTCGCCACCCTGCTCAGAAGCTGCGCTCTCGGGTTGATTCGTGTAGTTAGGTCAAGGCTCTCGTAAGATCTCGTTATTGTTTAGGTGAGGTCGAGGTGCTCGAATCTGCCGTGGGGAAACGGCCGTGGAGGATCTTCAGAAGTTACATACCGATTCGTTAAGGAACACTCTCGATTTGGTTTAAAGGGACGACTCGAAGGAGATAGAAGAGTTATCGGCTATAAGGCTCTCGACCAATCAGAATGATTAGTTCTCGGATTTGGCTATTGTCAATCGACTGCTTCAAAGCAGTCTGTCTCGGGGCACCGACCGAGGTGTCACGAGGGACATCGCGCTCCCGTGCTGTCTGTTTATAGTTTTTCTAGCCGCGTTTCGATACTGTATAGCAACTTCTCGTTTGTGCGGTTCTCGCGTTGCTCTCGCGATATCCAGGAATTCTATGAATTCCTGTGAGTGTTCCGGAGGTTAGTGCTGTGCCTTAGTGCAGTGCTCCCCAGAGTGTCCTTTGGATCCAGTTCTCGACCCCCACGGATCAGCTGCACCAGCTCCAGTGAGTCTCCCAATTTATTAATTGGTGGAGGGATCTCGATAGAGAGTTAAGATTCGTCCTGATACGTTCTCGGTTCGTCGCTCTCTGTCTCTCGCACTATTTGCCGGACTCTTACTCCGACCCTCTCTACCTCAAACCCAGCAGCCTCAGCGGCCGTGCATTTCCGTAACCGTCCGATCCCGTTCGTGGATCCAGTTGCGTTTGCTGATTTTACGCGTCCCCAAAAATCGACAGGATCCGTTAAGCTGTCGCCTCGTCCGATAGGTTCCGTCAGAGCGCTCGTTCTTGGTGGAGTTGGGCCTGTTCCACCCCAACTCCCAGTTTATACCGGCTCGTCAGTTCCCGGTGAAAAAAGAATTGGCTGGCGCCAGCCTGGCTTGCGGATGCACGACCGACGGGTGGACGGCCGAAGGTAACGTTGCTTCTCAAGATAGTTGTTCTCCTATGTTTTGCTATCGGTGTCGGGTCACGAAAAAGAATTACGTTACAATGTATATAACGTACCACGTACCTCTCTAATAATCGTTCAGAGTTCGATATTAAAATAATAGACGTATCGCAAAGGTAGGAAAACCAAGGACCGATAATTAAGCAATAAAACAATCGTTGTTCAAACCTTCGACTGTACCAGGCAGTCTTTACACTGCAAATAAAAAGACCCCAGTATTATAATGTACTTACAGGTAACGGCTGAACCGACGATCACCCATGTAATGATAGGATATTACAGAGTATCCGTAAAGGTGGGTTCACATGAAACCCGTGGCTAACGAGTGTTTTATAATTGTTTACATACTTGATCTTAGCCTGGAATACAAACGCATATATATATATATATATATATATATATATATACAGTCTTTATCGAAACAAAGAGAAGCTTACAGAGAGCGAATAAACGTATCGTTACATCTATTGGGGAAAAAAAAAAAAAAATACATGAAATTAAGTCAAAAAGTGTAATTTAAAACAGGCGATCGAGCGTACAATGGAATATTCATTTTTACTTGTTTGATACTTGTGTAAGTTTTTTTTTGGCTGAGGGTGGTTGATTTTTTTTTTTTTTTTTTTTTTTTTTTTTTTTTGTGTAGCTGTGAGATACATTTTTTTTTTAATATATTTTGAATTTTTTTTTTTTTTTTTTTTTTTGGGGGTTTTTTTTTTTTTTTTTTTTTTTTTTTTTTACTTAGTTTACTTATATACGTACATATTTCTCAATGGTTATTATCCGTCGTACGATAACAAATATACGCGCGGGACAATCATCCACCGTTTCCGTTCGGAATGATGAGACTTATGCAAACATATTATCGTATGGAGCTGGCAGGTATAC